AAAAAAAAAAAAAAAAACCGCGGGCGGGCCGATTTGGCCCGCGGGCTAATGCGGGCGGGCTACGGGCCATGGATTTCCCAGCCCGTAGAAATGCGGGCGATTTTGGCCCGCCCCGTTTGAACCGCGGGCCGAAGCGGGCCGGGCCGGACCGGCCCGTTTGACAGTGCTAGCTCTGCCTCAAGTTCTTCTCCAAGAAATTGTAGGCATAATCTATCATAACCCTCTTCCCAATATTCGCCCCTTTCCCCGCCACCACCTCGTGCTCCCCCACCATATGCACCACCGCGAACCTCCACGCCCTATCCAAACCTTCGATTTCGCCCGCCAAATTTCCGCTAGAGTAGAGTTAAGGGTTGGAGACGGTCTTAAACTTTAGATCCAATATCCATCTCTTTGTCCATTTGGAAAGCCATAAATTTTGACAAACCTATGAAACTTATAGAATATAGATAGTGTTGTCAAGTCATGGAGAGGACAATGACTGCACTCTGTTAATAGGTCGCATGATGCTCCTCAATTTTGCTAATCTAATCCTTTATTCCCAATTCATGTGTTTGATTTTTTTTTATTTTTTTTTTTTTTGCCGAAACGATAGAGATAATATAGAAGAGCACAAAAATAAAAAAAACAAATTACAAGACCCCAATAGGGTAATACTAAGGCTCAACAGGGTAATGAGACAGGGGCCAACAGCCCAAACCAAAAACACTCCTAAAAACAAACAGGAATAGAAAACTGAGAGAACACGCACAAGGCGGTCTAAAGAACTCCACAAACGAAAATAAAGGAAAATGAAAAACATAGCCACTGCACAATGCCTAGCCAGTAATCATCTCCGAAATAAAAACACAAACAAACACACAGAGCAAAATAAAAGGACACCTACAAAATAAACCAAAAAACAAAACTAAATGACCCTCCCCCGAAAAATCGACTAAACCAGAGAAGCAGCTACATCCGACTCTAGGTTAGGTCCCTAGCCAAGTCCCAACCCCCGAAACTGCCGAAGGCCTAACAAAAGGTGGGACCCCGCCCCCGAACCCAACCCAAAGGGCAGAACCCTCTGACCCAGGAGAACAGGCCGAACAACCCCAACCGAATCAAACCGAGCTAGACTAACACCACTAGCCCAGCTCGATTTGCCGGATCCCAAGCAAACCCAAAAGGAGATGCACCGGGATAGTCGCTCCCTGCCCGAACCCCAACCCCGGCAACCACCACGCACGACACACAGAAGCCACTGGAGCCCCTCCCAACCCCCACCGACGCTGCCCTGCCACCACAGCCGCTAGCTCACCTTCTCCCTCCCGAACCCCTGCTAATCGCCCCAATACCCAACCAACGCCCTGAATCACCAACCCTACGCGCACAAATGAGCCAAAACAGGTCCCGACAGACGACCCCACCAGAGAACCCACAAAGCCCCAATCGAACCCTAACCTTCAAACCTTACCCTTCACCGAGCCCACCAATCAAACCAGACCAAGATGGAGAACAATAAGCGGGTTCCAACCGCAACGAGCTGCACCGACAAGCCCAGAAAACGACCGAAAACCACTGCCGGTCCCACACCTACCAACGGACGGGAGAGACGAAAGAAGAAGTCGAGGCTGCGAAACCGAGAAGAAACGACGCCAGGGAAGGAGGGCGGCCAGCGACGGCCGCAGATCCGGCCTCGCCGCCGCCGGGAGAGGTCAAATCGGAAATCGCAAAGGGTGCTGCGAGAGGGGGAAAGGGGAGAAAAAATTCGTCGGGTGCTAAAAAGTCATGTGTTTGATTGATTAAATAGTTTTAAATGTTTAGGACAAAATGTGCTTTCATTGGTAAGTGAGCATCTAAACGTGAACTTGAATAGTAAAAACTAAAAGCAATGGGAAAAACAAATTAAAAAAGGTAAAGGAGTCATAGTCCCATTTATCCATGCCACGTAATTTTCAAGTGTTCTTTCATCGTCCTATTCTACTTTTTTTTTTTTTTTAGTACAAAAGAAAGAAGTTATAGGTCTAACCACGCTAAGCTAATACTCGACAGTCCTATTCTACTCTAGGAGCACTCTTTCTTTTTCTTTGGTACAGGGACCTTCCGGTTACCTTCCGGTTTCCGGATCCACAGGGGAACCGACTAATCCGGAATCGAGCCGAGTAGGACTACAAGGGCGGCAAAGCTCTCCCTCAAGAGTTTTAACACTGCTGCATTCCCAGGGCTCGAACTCGAGACCACTGGTTAAGCTGGAAGAGACCCAAGCCATCTCATCCAAGTGCTCTTGGGTTAGGAGCACTCTTTCTTGATTCTTCTCAAGTGTTCTTTCTCATGTTCATCCATGCCACGTAAGTTTCAAAGGAGTCACAGTCCCATTTAGATTTGAAGTCTCAAGTCATAGCTTATAGATTCCCATATCTCATGGATCAGTTTTGAGGAAAACAAAAGAAATTGGGTAGAGTATAGTTACTTTTATATTGTGATAAATCATATAAGATAATAAGTAATGTAATTGAAAAAAAAAAAAAAAAAAAATTGGTAAACGGAAATTTGTATGGAGAATTGCACAATTGAAATTATCGAGTCAAGCCAAGTATTGGCTCTATTGAGTCGAGCTCGGTTTTCTTTAATTGCTCGGAAATTGGCTTTTTCCAAAGCTCGGCTCAATTGATAAAATATATATAAATGTTTGAGTCGGCTCGAGATCTACTGAATTTCACTCAAGGTTGACTTGAATTTTTAAAGGTTTTCTATTTGAATAAGAATTATTAAAGTACTGGCTTTATTGAGTCGAGCTCGGTTTTCTTTATTTGCTCGGAAATGGAATTTTTTAGAGCTCGGCTCGATTCATAAAAAATATATAAATGTTTCAGTCGGCTCGAGATCTACTCGAACTTCACTCAAGGTTGAATTGAAGTTTTAAAAGTTTTTTATTTAAATAAGAATAATTATTGTGTTCAGTTCGTGTTTAGCTGGAGTCTGACTCAAACTTTTAATAAGATTTTTCTATTCAACTAAAGATTTTTTTCTTGAGTTTTGTTTGTGTTTAACTCGAGTTTGAATCGAATGTCGCTCGAGTTAGAGGCATTTAGTTAACTCGAGTTTATGACATACAAATTCGATTTGAATTTAAGATGCTTGAACTTGACTTATGCTCAATCAATGCCTAAGCCTGAGTCAAAATTTTGACTTGGGTGCTCGCAAGCCGCTTGATTCGCTTGGAGATTTTATGCCTCACCATTAAATTGTACTTACAAAATACTAAAAAAAATGGCAAATTTGAGATTTTCAAATGCAACAAAAACACAACCATTTTTTTTTAAGGGAGCACATTATTCTACAATGCAAAATCTCCAACGATGTTAATTAAACACGTTAAAACGTACACTAATTACAAGATTCACAAAACAATTGAACAACCAAACAAAACATATTTTTCCTTTTATTTCCTTTGATGTTAATTTTCACTTGTTCACAAAAAAAGGAAAATAAAAAAGAAAAACATTTTACATATGCAAAGCCAAACTATCACCATGCCCACTCGACCCATTACCCGTTGTCCTTCTTCCGCTCTCCGCCCCGCCGCCGCCGCCGGAGTCCCCCTGTTCCTCCGCCACCGGTTGGCGGCACGTGGGGCACGAAGTGTGCGATGACAGCCACACGTCCACACAGTTGACGTGGAAGCAGTGACGGGAGCCCGGCAGAACTCTAATCTTCTCCCCGTCGGCAAACTCGCCCAGGCATATTGGGCACTCGGTGAAGGCCGTCGCAGCCACCCCGTTGCCGCCGGCGGCGGCGTACACCTCCACCGGTAATGTATCTGCCGGAGCAGGCTCTTCCTCAGCCCCCTCTGGCCGAACCGCAGAGGTGGGTCGCCGGGAGCGGCGGAGCTCGATTCGCCGGCACAACGGAGGACGCACCTGACGATGGAGTTTATCCCGAGCGCGCAGATGAGAGCGCAGAGCAGGGCCGCCAGGATTATCACCATGTTTGTGTCGAAGTTCGCCGCCCGGCCGTCGTCGTGGCTCCGGTCGCCGGAGTCTGTCTGGGGAGGCGAAGGCGTGACTCCCGGCCGGGCATCGGGGAGCAGGCGGCGCGTCCTGTGGTTGAAATTCATTGGAGATTTGATGGGTTCAACTTAAGCACACTCTAATGACAAAAAGGATGCAGAAACTGTAAAGGGACAAAAGTACCAAAAACAGAGAGGGATAAACTGTAAATAGTTTCAATTAAATAACAAGTTCTAATATTATAATTTCTCACCCAGAAGATCGAAACTGTAGAACATACACTCTCGTAGTAATATTACAAATCGAGCTCTAGATGACAAAGACTCGTGCTGATAATGTATTATAAAACTAGAGAGAAAAAGAGAGAATACATCAAATTTATTATATTAGTGTGTCTTTCATTGTAACTGAAACTTTTATTTATAGGAAACATGACACAACTTGCAATAATACAAATACATCGAGAGCAAAATAGTCATTCACATGTATTATTTTATAAATATTTCATAACAAAAGGTACCTTTGAATTAATTAAATTTGATTTGAGGACTAAATTATAATTTTATTCTTTATTTTATTTTTTTTTTTTTGGTGTGTGTGTTGTGACTGCTAACCATGGTGGTGGTGGGGGATATTGGCGGACCCCAAGTCCAAGGAGTCGTGCCGCCGGAGCTTGCATGTGGCTGTGAGATAGGTAATGCACGAGGAGTTTGTACGTTCTAAGGCCACGACGATGGGCTGGAGGATCTACAACAGAAAAAGAAAAGGAAAGATCTAAGCAAATTACAAACATCTGCGAAAACCACACTACTACAAAGGAGCAGCAACAACAATATTGTTCAGTTTAGTCACCAAAGCCTTATTTGCCATGAACATTGCGATGAACAACAATATTATATTTATATACACATACATTGGATGAACATTCAGTTTTAACCCCAACGGCCCATACAATTTTTGCACTCTATCTACCCACCCAACCCATTATATACACATACATTGGATGAACATTCGGTTTTAACCCGGCGGCCCATACAATTTGTGCACTCTATCTACCCACCCAACCCATACTTTTTTTTAACACTATGTACTCCCAATACACACGTTTAAGCATATCAATTTTATAAATTTCATTAATTGTAAAAGTAAATGATAGAAATTTAAACTGTATATTTAACTTACATAAGAATCACTGCACTAATTAAAAATATAATTTACTACACTAATTAAAAATATAATTTTTGTAACTTTGAATTATTATGATCAATTAATTAGATGATTATCAATTTTTTTATTATTTCAATATCTTGCAAAATTTTAAAGGGTTTAATTATGCCATAAAAACAAAGCTAACTAATATCTATAAAAAGTTTCTTAATGAGTTGAAAAAAGGCTAATGTTGATTTTAAATAAATAGTTTTGCACTAAATTCTTAGCCTGCAATTTTATATAAATAAATTGTAGGCAAAAATTTAACAACTAAAGAATTTTCCCGCAAAAAACTTTTGTTTTATCCATATATGGACTCTTTTTTTTTCGTTAGATTTTGTAAAGTTTCAAATTTTTAGTTTCTGTTGTGCACAGATTTATTGAATTTTTTTTTTTTTGGTACAGATTTATTGAATTTTAATATGTATAGTAGGAAAATACATACATAAAATCAGAAAATATTTATATAGATGACAGCTATTAGTTTTACCTTCATTATCATAACAAATTAGTAATAAATTAACTATAAAATATTATTCGAGGTAAATAATACGAAAAGAAATAATTGGATATATATGTGTAAAATTGTAGGCTATTGAAGGCTAAATTTCATTTTTAGTCCACTATGTTGGTCATTTTCCAAAAAAGGTCCATCATATAGTGTGTCATCAATAATGGTCCACTAAATTGTCACTTTTAATCAAAACTCCTACAATTGCAACATAGTGTACTAAAAGTGATTACCATTTTTAGTACACTATGTTGGCTATTATACGAGTTTTGATTAAAACTGACAACTTAGTGGATCATTATTGATGACACCCTATATGATGAACCTTTTTCGGAAAATGGCTAACATAATGGACCATTTTTTAAATTTTGCCGGCTATTGAATTTCGCTGAATTTTTAATATAATGTTAGAAAGTAACCGTCACATTTTGTATAATGTAATTGTTCCCTTAGTATGTTATTGAGAGTGACGGGTTAAGGCTTTCTAGAGTGAGTGGGTTTGAAAAACAATAAATGTTTTGGCTATTTGAGAAAATGCATATTGAGGAGGAGAGAGTAGTTCATAAAGCAATGACAGGGTGGATGGAATTTAGTGCAAATTTGGAATTACATGGCAATGGGAATGAGGAGGAGGGTCTAGGGATTATGGGGCAATCTGAGGAATTTTTAATAAATTATATATAAATGATTTGTCCATGACTTAATTATCTCTATTGATCATACCAATCCAATGGTTTATAAACATTCTTATTTCTTTCACTATCTATCATTCTTATATGATCCCTTCTCTCTCTCTCTCTCTCTCTCTCTCTCTCTCTCTCTCTCTCTCTCT